TTTGAAATATGTAATAATGTTAAAAAAACATTAGAAAATACCGTTCAAAAGTTGTACTATATATCAGGATTATTAACTATGCAAATTTAGGTAATTTCAATAACTCAGTGACACAATTCCTACAGGTTCCACTGGAACCGAAGATTTTGTATCTTCTACGATGCAGCCAACAACGCCATCTACATCAGTCCCACCTATATGTCCTCCGGGAACTTTTGGAAATATTCCGCATCCAGTACTGTGCAGTTCCTTCTTCATGTGCGCTGGGGGATCGGCCACACTTCTAAACTGTACATCTGGCTTCGAGTTTGACCCCGACATGAGAGTAAGTATTTAGGTATATTTTATGTCGGAAGAGGCCTTGTTTCTTAATACAAGAACATAAATTTTTGTTTACATTATATTGAATCATTGGAATAAGTACAAAAAAAATATTTTCAAAACCGATAAAATGGAAAATATTGATAAAGAGCATCACAAACAACGTTTTTTAACAAATACATTGAATTAACCTTTTTTTTGGGCCCTTTTCATTTTAGTCGTGTGTCCCTATTGCTCCGGGTGGATGCACTCTCGGCCCTTTAACTACTGAGGTTCCAGAGTTGAGTACTACAAACGAGTTCAGCACTACTGTTGCCTATCATACTGAAGAAAACTACTCTACAGCTTCAGTTGGTACTACTACCGTTTCGGATAGTGATACAACAGAGAGCACTACATTTGAAACAGATCGACCAACTCCAACCACCACGGTTGGATTAAATAGTTCAACTCCAGAAGGGGACATAAATGCTACAACTCAAACTTCTATATATGAAATGACAACAGAGGCAACTACAAGCGATAGTCCGGCTAAAACAACTGCAGATGATATTGCGACTGAGGGAACTACAATAGTCAGTTATACTACAGAGGAAACCTCAAACATTACGATTGGCGATGGTTCAACAAGCACAACTGATCCAACAACAACTTTAACTACGACTAAACTAGTTACAGAAGGTGATGTTTAAATTCTATTAGATATCTTGATTTTCATATATTCATGTGAACTACACTAAAAATATCTTAAACTGAAAAATTTAATAAGATAAAAAAAAAACATACGTTATAAGCGTTTCTGGATAGTATAATCTATTAAAATTATGGACCAACGTCCTTGTAACTTTAAATTTTTAATGTCGTACGTAGTAGTACTGTCACGCCTTGTAAGCTTTTAAGCGAAAATAATTATCTTTGCTTGACAGAACTATCTTTTTCCGAGATGCAATTGTAGAATTCTTAATAAATTACATTAGTCTTACAGGTACTACTGAAACTGAAGGAGATAAAGATGCTACAACTCAAACTACTTCAAATGAAATGACAACAGAGGCAATTACTAACGATAGTCCAACTAAAACAACTACGTATGAAATAACGACAGAGGGAACAACAACAGTTGTTAGTACTACGGAGAGAGAATCAGGCTCTACAACTGGGGATGACTCAACAAGCGCAACTCATCCGACAACGATTTTAACTACGAATAAACAAGTGACTGAAGGTGATATTCTTGATTCTATTTGTGTTTTATCTGTTTCTTTAATTTCCAAGAGCACTTCTCAATTAATGAAACGACTTTTGACTTTGAAATATGTAATAATGTTAGAAAATACCGTTCAAAAGTTTTACTATATATCAGGATTATTAACTATGCAAATTTAGGTAATTTCAATAACTCAGTGTCACGATTCCTACAGGTTCCACTGGAACCGAAGATTTTGTATCTTCTACGATGCAGCCAACAACGCCATCTACATCAGTCCCACCTATATGTCCTCCGGGAACTTTTGGAAATATTCCGCATCCAGTACTGTGCAGTTCATTCTTCATGTGCGCTGGGGGATCGGCCACACTTCTAAACTGTACATCTGGCTTCGAGTTTGACCCCGACATGAGAGTAAGTATTTAGGTATATTTTATGTCGAAAGAGGCCTTGTTTCTTAATACAAGAACATAAATTTTTGTTTACATTATATTGAATCATTGGAATAAGTACAAAAAAAAAAAAAATTTCAAAAGCGATAAAATACGGAAAATATTGATAAAGAGCATCACAAACAACGTTTTTTAACAAATACATTGAATTAACCTTTTTTTTGGGCCCTTTTCATTTTAGTCGTGTGTCCCTATTGCTCCGGGTGGATGCACTCTCGGCCCTTTAACTACTGGGGTTCCAGAGTTGAGTACTACAAACGAGTTCAGCACTACTGTTGCCTATCATACTGAAGAAAACTACTCTACAGCTTCAGTTGGTACTACTAACGTTTCGGATAGTGATACAACAGAGAGCACTACATTTGAAACAGATCGACCAACTCCAACCACCACGGTTGGATTAAATAGTTCAACTCCAGAAGGGGACATAAATGCTACAACTCAAACTTCTATATATGAAATGACTACAGAGGCAACTACAAGCGATAGTCCGGCTAAAACAACTGCAGATGATATTGCGACTGAGGGAACTACAATAGTCAGTAATACTACAGAGGAAACCTCAGACATTACGACTGGCGATGGTTCAACAAGCACAACTGATCCAACAATAACTTTAACTACGACTAAACTAGTTACAGAAGGTGATGTTTAAATTCTATTAGATATCTTGATTTTCATATATTCATGTGAACTACACTAAAAATATCTTAAACTGAAAAATTTAATAAGATTAAAAAAAAACATACGTTATAAGCGTTTCTGGATAGTATAATCTATTAAAATTATGGACCAACGTCCTTGTAACTTTAAATTTATACTGTCGTACGTAGTAGTACTGTCACGCCTTGTAAGCTTTTAAGCGAAAATAATTATCTTTGCTTGACAGAACTATCTTTTTCCGAGATGCAATTGTAGAATTCTTAATAAATTACATTAGTCTTACAGGAACTACTGAAACTGAAGGAGATAAAGATGCTACAACTCAAACTATTTCAAATGAAATGACAACAGAGGCAATTACTAACGATAGTCCAACTAAAACAACTACGTATGAAATAACGACAGAGGGAACAACAACAGTTGTTAGTACTACGGAGGGAGAATCAGGCTCTACAACATGGGATGACTCAACAAGCGCAACTGATCCAACAACGATTTCAACTACGACTAAACAAGTGACAGAAGGTGATATTCTTTACTCTTTTTCTGTTATACCTGTTTCTTCAATTTTCAAGAGCACTTCTCAATTTATGAAACGACTTTTGACTTTGAAATATGTAATAATGTTAGAAAATACCGTTCAAAAGTTTTACTATATATCAGGATTATTAACTATGCAAATTTAGGTAATTTCAATAACTCAGTGTCACGATTCCTACAGGTTCCACTGGAACCGAAGATTTTGTATCTTCTACGATGCAGCCAACAACGCCATCTACATCAGTCCCACCTATATGTCCTCCGGGAACTTTTGGAAATATTCCGCATCCAGTACTGTGCAGTTCATTCTTCATGTGCGCTGGGGGATCGGCCACACTTCTAAACTGTACATCTGGCTTCGAGTTTGACCCCGACATGAGAGTAAGTATTTAGGTATATTTTATGTCGAAAGAGGCCTTGTTTCTTAATACAAGAACATAAATTTTTGTTTACATTATATTGAATCATTGGAATAAGTACAAAAAAAAAAAATTTTCAAAAGTGATAAAATACGGAAAATATTGATAAAGAGCATCACAAACAACGTTTTTTAACAAATACATTGAATTAACCTTTTTTTTGGGCCCTTTTCATTTTAGTCGTGTGTCCCTATTGCTCCGGGTGGATGCACTCTCGGCCCTTTAACTACTGGGGTTCCAGAGTTGAGTACTACAAACGAGTTCAGCACTACTGTTGCATATCATACTGAAGAAAACTACTCTACAGCTTCAGTTGGTACTACTAACGTTTCGGATAGTGATACAACAGAGAGCACTACATTTGAAACAGATCGACCAACTCCAACCACCACGGTTGGATTAAATAGTTCAACTCCAGAAGGGGACATAAATGCTACAACTCAAACTTCTATATATGAAATGACTACAGAGGCAACTACAAGCGATAGTCCGGCTAAAACAACTGCAGATGATATTGCGACTGAGGGAACTACAATAGTCAGTAATACTACAGAGGAAACCTCAGACATTACGACTGGCGATGGTTCAACAAGCACAACTGATCCAACAATAACTTTAACTACGACTAAACTAGTTACAGAAGGTGATGTTTAAATTCTATTAGATATCTTGATTTTCATATATTCATGTGAACTACACTAAAAATATCTTAAACTGAAAAATTTAATAAGATTAAAAAAAAAACATACGTTATAAGCGTTTCTGGATAGTATAATCTATTAAAATTATGGACCAACGTCCTTGTAACTTTAAATTTATACTGTCGTACGTAGTAGTACTGTCACGCCTTGTAAGCTTTTAAGCGAAAATAATTATCTTTGCTTGACAGAACTATCTTTTTCCGAGATGCAATTGTAGAATTCTTAATAAATTACATTAGTCTTACAGGAACTACTGAAACTGAAGGAGATAAAGATGCTACAACTCAAACTATTTCAAATGAAATGACAACAGAGGCAATTACTAACGATAGTCCAACTAAAACAACTACGTATGAAATAACGACAGAGGGAACAACAACAGTTGTTAGTACTACGGAGGGAGAATCAGGCTCTACAACATGGGATGACTCAACAAGCGCAACTGATCCAACAACGATTTCAACTACGACTAAACAAGTGACAGAAGGTGATATTCTTTACTCTTTTTCTGTTATACCTGTTTCTTCAATTTTCAAGAGTACTTCTCAATTTATGAAACGACTTTTGACTTTGAAATATGTTGTAATGTTAAAAAAAAAACATTAGAAAATACCGTTCAAAAGTTGTATTATATATCAGAGTTATTAACTATACAAATTTAGGTAATTTCAATAATTCAGTGACACGATTCCTACAGATTCCACTGGAACCGAAGATTTTGTATCTTCTACGATGCAGCCAACAACGCCATCTACATCAGTCCCACCTATATGTCCTCCGGGAACTTTTGGAAATATTCCACACCCAGTACTGTGCAGTTCCTTCTTCATGTGCGCTGGGGGATCGGCCACACTTCTAAACTGTACATCTGGCTTTGAGTTTGACCCCGACATGAGAGTAAGTATTTAGGTATATTGTATGTCGAAAGGGGCCTTGATGCTTAATACAAGACTATACATTTTTGTTAACATTATATTAAATAATTTAAATAAGTACAAAGAAAATTTTTCAAAAGCGATTAAATACGGAAAATATTGATAAAGAACATCACAAACAAAGTTTTTTAACAAATACATTTAATTAACCTTTTTTTGGACCATTTTCATTTTAGTCGTGTGTCCCTATTGCTCCGGGTGGATGCACTCTCGGCCCTTTAACTACTGAGGTTCCAGAGTTGAGTACTACAAACGAGTTCAGCACTACCGTTGCCTATCATACTGAAGAAAACTACTCTACAGCTTCAGTTGGTACTACTACCGTTTCGGATAGTGATACAACAGAGAGCACTACATTTGAAACAGATCGACCAACTCCAACCACCACGGTTGGATTAAATAGTTCAACTCCAGAAGGGGACATAAATGCTACAACTCAAACTTCTATATATGAAATGACAACAGAGGCAACTACAAGCGATAGAGCGACTAAAACAACTGCAGATGATATTGCGACTGAGGGAACTACAATAGTCAGTTATACTACAGAGGAAACCTCAGACATTACGACTGGGAATGGTTCAACAAGCCCAACTGATCCAACAACAATGTTAACTACATCAATACAAGTTACAGAAGGTGATGTTTAAAACCCTATTGCAGTTATATTTTTTCTTATATTTCAACGTGCACTATTGATTAATAAAACTGCTTTAAATCTTTCATAATATAGCAATTGTTCAAAAAGACATGTTATAGACCTATTTAAAAATTATTTCATTTATCAGGGATATTAACTAACGCTACACATTTATTTTAAAGTAATGAGTAACCAAAGGGCGTTTGTGCACTACACTGAATTTTCAGGTCCGGTAGTCTGATTTTTCCGATCCGATATGTCAGGCTATATGTAGATAATGGTAGCCTGTGCATTGTCGGGAATTTTCAGGTCCTAGATGGCGGAAACGGAAAACGTATTTATGCTTGTGCTCTGCTATGTCCGCAATCCGGAAAATTCATGAGCCTGCGGAGTAAGCCTGGGACAAAATAGATTTATGGAAAATCTATATTTATTTCGGCGATATTGTTAATTTCCGCTATATTGATAATTCAATGTTTGTTGTAGAGTATATGATTCGATATCTTGGTATGATGATTTAATATAGTTGGTAAATATCACTGCATATGCCTTGGCAAACTCGATATGGTTCTGATTTGATAATCGTATTGATAATAGTAACGATGCTTTGCCAGATTCTAGAATTATATTAAAAGTATTTATCCGAAAACATTATCGAATCAATAGTATCTATAATTTAAGGTAACATAAATAAGTGTTGGTACGCTTCCACGCTGAACAACTGAACCCATTCTAATGAAGTTTGATACAGAAATAGACTTAACCTTGAGAAAGGACATGATATTTTTTATCGCAAAAAAGAGCTGGAAATAGGGGAATAAAGTTTGCATGGAAATTTGTTAATATCAAAATTTGATTTTAGGTAATTGATAAGTATAAATAATATTTGATAACAGCAGTATTCTAAAAGAAAAAGAATTCTGCTCAAAGAAACTATATCATGCGTATAAAATCGCGGCCAAAAGTATTTAGACCTATATATGTATAACACAGCCAACTGATCTTACAATGATTTTAGTTAAATTATGACATTTAAAACTTTTGCAATAGGATGGCTGATTTAAATGCCACCGTAAAGTTTATTTAACATATTAATTCTCCGCTTAGACAGCATTAATTTCGATTTGTTTATGAAAGGGCGTCAACGATTGGTCTATGTCTGTAGTCTATGCTTGAGGTTGTTTTTAAAAAACTTTGAAGAAAAATTGCACGAATATAAATTTAATCATCAACTACTAGAACATTATCAGTAATTTTATTCAATGTCACATATATTTTTAGCTATTGTATGTTAATAATGCTGTTCCAAAATCAGTAAAGGTATAAGTTTTTACATCCGATAGTAGTCATCCGAATTAGTAAAGAAAAAATGCTTTCGTACTGCCTCAATTTATTATGTTTTATGTAAAATAACCCTGTCAGGTCATTATTTAGGTACCTTTCACTTACAAGGGGATGAACCCAATATTTTTAGGTTTCCTACATCTTCGCACGTAGAGTAATAAAGCGAGCAATTACCGACGTTCCAAAAATCTCATCGTACTTAGCGTAAGTGACGTTTAGTTCCAAAGAGAGCAGCCCTAAATAGCGCCGCTCCGATCTGAAAAAAAAACGGACAAGTTCACAAGCTAATCCGGGTTTTTCGTGTCATTCCGAACCGGAAAAAGTCGGACCACTGGATCTGAAACTTCAGAGTACACAAACGCCCAAAGACTCTCCGTTTGGTAGTACATACATAGCAAAATCACACCTACTAACCGAGAGCAGAGCTCTGCTAGACAAATTCAGCACCATTCTTATAGTTTCCATTGCAACTGAAGATTTTTTATCTTCAACAGTGCACCCAATAACAACTTCTACATCAGCCCCACCTATCTGTCCTCCGGGAACTTTTGGAAATATACCACATCCCCTACTGTGTAATTCTTTCTTCATGTGCGCTGGGGGATCGGCCACACTACTAAACTGTACAGCTGGTTTCGAGTTTGATCCCGAAAAGAGAGTAAGTACTTACTTAGGTATGTCATGTGTCGAAAGTGGTCTTGATATTTAATGCAAGGATATCGAATTTCTGGAATTCGTAAAATACGGAAAATAATGTCGATTAATATCAAACGACTGTTTTTAAAATTGATTAGAAGAAAATCACAAAATCGCAAATAAATTGAAAATATTATGTCACTCATGTGAAGTCACTCGAATGAACATAGTTTTTGGTCCATTTCATTTTAGTCATGTGTCCCTATTGCTCCTGGTGGATGCACTCTTGGCCCTGTTTCTACAGGGGCTCCAGAGTTGAGTACTACAAAAGAGTTTAGCACCACTGATACCGGTCAAACTGAAGACAACTACTCTACAGTTTCAGTCGGTATTACTACCGTTTCTAGTAGTGAAACAACACAGAGTACTACATTGGAAACAGATAGTGCGACCCTGACCACTACGGTTGGATTAGACGGTTCAACTCCGGAAGAGGTCATAAATATTACAACTCAATCTTCTATACATGAAATTACAACAGAGGCAACTACAACTGACATTTCGAATAAGACAACCACAGATAACATAGTGACTGTAGGAACTACAACAGTCGGTAATACCACAGAGGAAACCTCAGACTCTACAACTTGGGATGGCTCAACAAGCACAACTGATCCAACTACGATTTTAACTACGTCAATACCAGTTACAGAAGGTGATGTTTAAACTATTATTGTTTTATTTGTTTTGGTATAATTTTGCACTACATCTTAAATAAAACAACTTTTTAATTTTAAAAATATCATTAGATTTCGAGAAGCACATGCGATAAAATCGGTTTAAAGTAGATTTATTCATAACCTCACTTTTTTTGTTCTACTTAATTATACATTTATTAATTTAAAATGTATGAGTAAGCAAATTCTGACTGTTAATTAGTAATACTGTCACGTTTTATAAACTTTAAAACTGATCTTTAATTACAGAACTATATTTTTTTGAAGTTGAAATAGTAGAATGCAATATTTTTACTAATTGCATTATAGTATTATAGGTGCCACTGCAACTGAAGGGGATAAAGAGACTACATCTCAAACTACTTCAATTGAAATGATAACAGAGGTAACAACCGAAAGTCCAACTAAAATAACTATGTATGAAATAACGACACAGGAAACATCAACAGAGGGAGATTTAGACTCTACAACTGGGGATGTCACATCTGATCCAACAACGATTTTATCTACTACGAAACTAGTTACAGAAGGTGATATTTTAAACGCTATTTGAGTTATACTTGTTTTTTATGTTTTTCAGAGTACTTGTCAATAATAGTATAATGTAATAATGATTCAAAAAACGTGATATAACCGTTTTAAAGGTTGTTTTATATATCAGGGTCATTAACTAACGTTATCCGTTTATCTTCAAATTTCTAAGAGAACAAAGATTCACCATTTGCTTGACAGAACTTTCTGCTTTTAAATTTGCAGTTATAGGTAATTTAATTAACTTAATAGTACAATTAATCTTACAGGTTCGATTGGAACTGAAGATTTTGTATCATCAACGGTGCAGTCAACAACACCATCTACATCGGCTCCATCTATATGTCCTCCGGGAACTTTTGGAAATATCCCGCATCCAGTACTGTGCAGTTCCTTCTTCATGTGCGTTGGGGGTTCGGCAACATTACTAAACTGTACATCTGGTTTCGAGTTTGATCCGGAAAAGAGAGTAAGTACTTAGGTACGCCGTGTGTCGAAATAGGCCTTGAATATAGCTGTATTTATGTAAATATAATATCGATTCACTGAAATAAGTACGAAGTGAATGTTTTAATTCGATACAATACTGTGACGGAGCGACGGGCTATACATTCTAGTAAAACGCGGCGTGATGTTTCTTTTACCCGTCACTAGATCGCGTTCTGGATTACTGAATTACGCAACTCTCTTGGCGTCGACGCGTCTAGATACAGGACAGCAGGAAACAGTGGCGTAACTTCAGGGTGGCAAAGTCGGCAAAATGTCACGCCAGCTGGAAGGGGTCCCTGGTCAGAGGAGACACCTTACTCCTGACATTTATTATTACGCAATTAGTAAAAGATAATGAATATCCGATGAATTTGCCACGGGCCTCAAACGGTATAGTTACGCCACTGGCAGTAAAGAAACTGTAAGGCGCGATCCGCGAAAAGGTAGAATAAGAATGTTCTAGTTTCCGTGAACTGAATAAGAGAACGATAACAAGATATGTTCGAAGTGATAACTAGAACTCAAATCTTTACGTAATTTTTACGTAATAATCGCGTCTCAATAAGTCAACTACTTGCGTTTTGCTATTGATCTGCCAGTTCAATATGATTTGTGCAATATCTTCCTTGCAAATCAATGGTGACAGATGTGACAGATATATTGTTTGTTCTAGTAACATAAAATGTGTAGTTGAAGTCGTTATTGACTTTTCATATTAGTGTCAATTTTTTTATCTGACCGTCAGGTAAATTATTAAATATTATTAAAAACGTTTTTTTTTTGCGTAATTAATAAATTACTGCGATATATTGAGTTGCAATGTTAGGTGAAGTCACACCTTAGTACATTTTCTAATTTAGTTGTGACGTCATGAGCCCTGCCTCTATTCTTAAACTTTCTCGATAAACTGAAGCAAAACAAAGTATCTTATATTTTAGGCCTAAATCAAATTTCTTCTATTTTACCCACGGATCATCCCTGTTATGCTTACATTAGGCAGAATTGTCCTACTGGCGCGGTGAACTAACAGGGATACTATTTCCGTCACAACTAGAATGACAGAAATAGTGCTGTTGTCGGATTGTGACCTTAAATGGCGTCGATTTTTATCCTGAAAAGTAAGCGGAAGTATTGTCAATGAGCATTTTCAGTTATTCTTCTTCATTCTCAGAAAGGTTTTTTACATCGATTAGACGAAAACCACAAAATCAAAGGCAAAAATCAGATGTTCTATACTTGGTAAGAGTTAATTGATTAAATTTAATTTATGGTCGATTTTTTTTAGTCATGCGTCCCTATCGCTCCTGGTGGATGCACTCTTGGTCCTGTAACTACTGGGGCTCCAGAGTGGAGTACTACAAAAAAGTTAAGTACCACAGATACTGAAGTCAACTTTACAACTTCAGATGGTATTTCTACTGTTGCCGATAGTGAAACCACAGAGACTATTATATTAGAAACAGATAGTTCAACCCAAACTACAACTTCTACACATGAGATTACTGCAACCAATAGTCCGGCTAAAACAACTGCAGATGATATAGCGACTGAGGGAACTACAACCGTAATTAATACTACAGAGGTAACCTCATACTCTACGACTGGGGATGGTTCAACAAGCACAACTGATCCAACAACTATGACAATACAAGTTACAGAAGGTAAGGTTTTAAACTTTATTACAGTTATCTATTTTCAATCGCACTATTCGTTAAATAAAACAACTGTCTTTTTTAAAGCTGCAACTGTAGATAATTACATTAACTCTATGGCACCATTATTACAGGTTCCACCGTAACTGAAGTTTTTGTATCTTCGACGGCACAACCAACAATGCCATCAACATCATCCCCACCCATATGTCCTCCGGGGACTTTTGAAAATATCCCTCATCCCGTACTGTGCAATTCCTTTTTCATGTGTGCTGGAGGATCGGCAATACTACTAAATTGTTCATCTGGTTTCGAATTTGATCCCGAAAAGAGAGTAAGTACATATGTATATCGTGTATCAAAAGAGGCTTTTTAATTTTTTAATTCATGATCATACGTTTTGGTTTACATAATACCGAATCACTAGAATAAGTACAAAGTTAATGTAAATATTCAGTAACCATAAAATAGATACATTTTTACCCGACTGTGCGACGCAACGGCCCGGGTTCGAAAAATTAGCGATCAGGGTGATTGCTTATAGATTCATCATTTTGAAAAACTCTTTAGTCGATCTCTAAATTCGCAATGTCTGTCTCATTATTCTCAAGTTACGCAGTCATTTCTAGATTAAAAAGTTTTTAAGGAATATATTTATTGATAACATATTTGGTAACTGTAAATTAAATTACCACCTTATCTATAGATATTTTATTACTATTTTCGCCTTTTTTTTTTTTTGCAGATTTGTGTACCAATTGCACCGGGCGGATGTACGTCGATACAAGCAAAATCTATATTGTCGAATTCTTTAGATCGTTCAATATGCCCTGCAGGTCAAACCGACCTTATTCCACATCCAAAAATGTGCGAATCTTTTTACATGTGTGAAGGTGGTGTTAGCACACAATTATATTGTTCTCGAGGATATGAATACGAACCAAAAACTAAGGTGAGAAGAATGTATTTTAGATCTGAAAATGGGTTTTAAGCAAGTAGCGTTAAATCGGAATGATCGTTTTTTTACGGGATTTTTACTATCTTCCTTGTTTTTATTGAGTTTCCCATATTTCGGCGCTATTGCGACCGCTATGATGTAGGAGTAATTATTACGACGCAAGTGTACTGCAATAACTATAAAACTTTTTAGCAGTTGTGAATATGGAAGTGTTTATTGCTTATGTTTTACGTTTATTAATAGTAGGTGTTCATATATTTTGAATAAAAAGCTTTTGAATATTTTTATTTCAGCAATGCTTACTAATTTCTGAAGATGGATGTACAGCACGACAGTGAATAGAGGAATGAAAAATAAAAATATCAGTATTTGGATTTCAGATTGTGCCATGATTGTGATAATTTAGAAAGTATATTTTAATAGATATCTATTGCCAATATTATTATTAAAGTAAATCTACAGGGTTTTATTACATAGTCAATGTTAATTTATTTTGTATGCAAAATGTAAATATACTTTTACTGATTTTGTTTTTGTTATTATCATTATTATGTAGAGACGAGACCTAAAGATTAAAAACCAAAACTTTAATCTTATCCAAATGCAGCGAGGCGCAAGGTGGGAAGACGTTATCTCTCTAAAGCTATTCACGCTGTGTTGGAGAATATTTGTTCAGCTTCTGGATTGGAAAGAATATGGTATCAATATTAATGGCGAGTATCTTACACACCTATTTTTTGCCAATGATGTAGTCCTAATGGCTGAAAACTCGGAAATATCGGACCACCATGCTTGTAGATCTTAGTAGTGTATCTCAAAGAGTGGGTCTTAAGTTGAATTATGGATAAGTCGAAAATCATGTCAAACGTTCATGTTGTACCCACTGTAGTTAAAATTGGGAATACTATGTTCGATAACTCTTGAAGTTATCGACCATTATGTGTACCTAGGACAGATAGTCTAGCAACGCAAGTCCAACTTTGAGAATTTAGATTTCTCGTCGAATCCAGCTCGGATGGGCAGCGTTCGAGAACCTACGAAAAATCTTCGAGTCCAACTTAACTCAGCGTTTCAAGACCAAAGTCTTCGATTAGTTTGTGTTGCCAGTGACGAGTTACGGAAGCGAAATGTAGCCGTTCACTATGGGTCTCATTAGAAGGCTCAAGGTCACCCAGCGGGCAATGGAGAGAGCAATGCTTGGCATTTCTCTACGTGATCGAATTAGTAATGTGGAGATCCGTAGGAGAACTAACGTTATTGACATTGCTCAGCTGAAGTGGCAGTGGGTGAAACAGATAGTGAGCAGAACTGATGACCGTTGGAGCGGAAAAGTTCTCGAATGGTGACCACGTACCGAACTATGCTCAGTGGGTTGGCCCCCAGGTGGACCGACGATATTATAACGTTGAAGGAAGCCGCTGGATGCGGGCAGTGTAAGACTGATCGTCCTGGAGATCTATGGGGAAAGGCTTTGCTCAGTAGTGAGCGTCGATAATGATGATGAGACCTAAAGAATAAATAAATATCTAAAAATATGGGTAGGAAAAATTTAATGTGATGTGATGTATGACTGATGATAGGTAAATATACGTATAATTAAAGAAGGCGATTTATTTAAATACAAGCGGATATGTGATAACGTATACATCATCATTAAACCAAACTATAGTTTGGTTTAGTGAATATTTTTAGTCCCTAAGATTTAAAATTAACCAATTTAAAAACTGATACCGCCGATTGTACTATAAATAGTTGTACTATGATTAGTCACCTAATCATGAGAAAACAGATAGTCGATATAAGCCATATTATTTATTATCGAATATTCTACCATAATATATTTACAGTATAATTTATCTTTGTCGATTTACTAAAAAATAACTTTTTTATACAATTAAATTAATGATTTTAATAAACATCTTGGAATAAAGTAATAACAAAAAGCTAAATAATTTATTGCTAATAATTACCTTAATTCAAGAATTTTCCATATACCTAATTAAAGATAAAATAACACTTATTTTAGATAATGTTTCATATCCTTCCCATTTTTGGTTATGTAACAATACATATACGATGGATATCTTACGCATTGCGCTATTAACCGTGGTAGGCACATCTGAAAATGAAACTAAAATTGTTACAAAATCTTTAAAATTGCTAGCGTGTACACCCAGGGAAGCGACTGGCTTATTCACTCTAGCCACAGCTATAAGAATGTTTTATTGATCTCATTAATGAATATATCTATGCAGGAAAAAAAATTACCACAGAGAAAATTATGTGAACATAAACTTTAACTAATTTAAAAAAATACGTACTTTTTTATATTAATATGTTCTTATACTAAAAAATAAAGTTATCACTTAGCAAAGATCGAGACTGAAAGATTTTATGGACACCGCGCGCCGTGCGTCAGCTGATCGCGCGTTCGATGACGTAGGTAGGTAGATATGTAGCTACAATTCTTATTTTTTCTTCATATCAAGACCATCAAAATTCAGAAAATGAAAAGGTATATTTAACTTGATTAAAAAAATAATTACGCTATGCAGAGGCTTAATAGTTCTTTAAGGCGTATTTAAAAAATGGAATCAACTACGTATTTATAATACTGTTTAATAAGAAATAACTAATCACTCTCCCTACTTAAACTCTGACATCGTGATCAACACAACGCGTTTAACACGGGCGGCAGGCACACCGCTTGCGCGGGAGGGAGATGGCCTATGACGATTGCGCGTGCGTACGAGCGTTTGGAGCGCGGCGGAGGGACATGGCGACATCGACGCTTTCAATGATTTTTATTAAACATATTATCGAAATTTGTTTATAACTGATACTGAATAACCAAAAAAAATTTCGCACTGGTTAAAATTTTCCCTGTACATGAGGCGTAGTATTTCTATATGCCTAGTTATTTTATATGTATAGTTAAGTATACATAACATTAGTTAAGTCTGAACAACTTTTACTACGGGAGCAACACTGAATTTACGATAAAAAATCAGCTGTATCATACTATCAACGATTGTAGGTATTACAACGTATAGTATGATTGTATCAACGATTGTAGATATTACAACGTCTAGTATGATTGAGATGGATATCTAACACATTGTTTATTACACCTTATGATTATTATAACAAGAGTGATCACATAATTACGCTTGCTAATATACGCATTCTATTGGTATTAATATTTAATATTTGTGATACTGTACAAATTAGATTGCGCAAACGAAGGTTCACGACAAGGCATATTGGTTGGCTTTAACTTTACTTTGATTGTGTGTCAGATTATCCAATATACTGCTCATATAAGCATAAAGACAAGGTATATTCGTGCGCTGAAATCTGAAAGACCTGAAGTAATTTTGCGTACTATACTGTGTTATTTTTACCGCTTTTCTCCACTTTTTAGCAGGCCCTACTATACTGTTGGTTAGGTTCGATTTACTACTTCCATATACTTCTAATCTTAGTTACTTAATGAAAAAAAAATATAACTCACTTGTACCATAGTGTTAAACTCTAGAAAGCGTGGACATGGATGTTTAACAAGTTTTCCTCCTTCACAGGTATAATACGTTTTGCAATCCATGGGATCAGGGTATCTCGTATACTCTTCGCAATCTGGTTCATTGTAAGGTTTGATATTTGTAGACGTTGTAGTATCTAGTCCACTCGAAACTGTAGTAGTTGTTGTAGTTGTAGATAGTTTATTTGGTTTTGAAGTAGATAATTTACTAAACGTTGTAGTTGATAATTCACTAAACGTTGTAGTATTTACACTTGACATTGTAGCAGTAGTCTCATTTGATGGGGAGGTAGTTGAATTACTTGGTTTAGTAGAAGTTAATTCTTTGTGTGTTGAAGTGTTTAATTCATTTGGGATTTTAGTAGATAAATCACTAAGTGCTGTAGTAATTTCCTGTGCAGACGTAGTAGTTAATCTGTTTGATGTAACAGACGTTGTTGACCAAGGTTCAACTCTTGACGGAGGTGTGTGTGTAGGTCGTTCGTTAGGAGTAGATGTTGCTGGTTTAGTTGTTGTATTTGGCACAATATCTGAAGGATAATATGGAATTGATGTTATTGGCTTACTAGGCGTTCTTATGGTTGAAGAAATCACTGATTCAGCTGTTGTTATCATGGAACTAGTTTCACATTTCGCTATTGTGGACGGCAGGCAACCCTGAAATTGTTGTATTTGTGAACACCTTAATTTGTAATAAAATTTAAAAAGTAAAAATGTTCATTACTTACTTTATTATGATAACTTATTACAAGATTTATAAGAGGAATACTCACAAGCTTTATTGGATGGAACACAAATGTATCTTGACATATACTTTGTATAAGTGTTCCTTCAAAGCAAATGTAAAACGAGTGACAATCCGTAGGATCAGGGTACAAAGTGCCTGATTCACACAGTTTTGATGGTTTACTTGTTTCCGTTGACGAAGTCAATGGCTCCAGTGGAGTCGTGATGGTAAATTCACTTGATGTTACAGTGTTAGTTACATTTAGCGGCGTAGTAGTTGATTCGTTTATCTTCGTAGTAGTTGGTTTACTTGGTATAGTAGTAATTGATTCACTTGGAATTACAGAAGTTGTTGGTGTTTTAGTAGTTAACCTATTTTTTGTTGTAGTAGTTGATCTACTTGGTGTAGTAGTAATTAGTTCATTTGACGTTGTAGTAGTTGATTCGAATGGTAAAGTACTAACTGATTCTCTTGACGAACTATTAGTGAAACCATTTGGCAATGATGTAGGAGATCTTTCTGTCATTGTACTACTTGAACTACTTAACGAAAGAGTGCTTATTGATTCGGTTTGCATTATAGTAGTTGGTTTAGCTGACGTAGTTGTAGATAATTCACTTGGCGTGATAGTGGTTGAATCACTTGATAGAGTACTAGTTGGTTGTCTTAACGAAGTGCTAGTCGCTTCTCTAGATGAAATACTAGTAAAATCATTTGGCGTTGTAGTAGTTGATCTATATTTCGTTACAGCAGTTAAACTACTTGGAAAAGAAGTGCTGGTTGATTCGCTTTGCTTAATAATAGTTGATTTTGTCGGTATAGTAGTAGTTAAATCACTTGGTAATATAATTGTTGATTCTCTCGAGGAAGTAGTAGTGTAATCATTTGGTGTTGTAGTACTTGGCATAGAAGTGCTGATAGATTTGCTTTGCGTTGTAGTTGTTGATTTAGTTGCCGTAGTAGTAGTTAATTTACTTGGCATAGTAGAACTTGAATCACTTCGTGATGTAATAGTTGATGTTCTTGGCGAATTACCAGTAGATTCATTTGGAATTGTAGTAGTTGATCTGTTTATCTTAGTAGTAGTTAAATTACTTGTCGTAGAAATGCTGATCGATTCGCTTTGCATTATCGTAGTTGATGTAGTAGTAGATAAATCATTTGGCGAAATACTAGTTGAACCTTTTGCAGCAGTGCTAGTTGATTCCGTCATTGAAGTACTAGTCATTTCATTTGGCACTTCTGTAGTTTTTAGGTTTGTTGTTATAGTTGTTGATCCATTTGGCGTAGTAGAAATTGATTTGCTTGGTGTTTCACTACTAGATTCACTGGTCATCGTTGTAATTACTTTTCTTGGCATTATAATAGTTGTCTCATTTGACGTTATAGTACTTAATTCTCTTGGTGTTTTAGTAGTTAATTCACGTGTTATTTTGAAATCTGGTGACGTTAGTCTGGTTGATAACATATTTGGTTCAACTGGTGTTGTAAAAGTTGTTGTGGAAATATTTTCACACTTTGCTATAGTGGACGGCAGGCAACCCTAAAATATATACCATCTTATATGCTAAAACTTAAGGCAATATTCAATACATTCTACGATAAAATATGTTCAAGGAGTTATAAAGTATAACAATACTCACTAGCTTTATAGGATGGAATACAAATTTATCTTGACATGTACTTGTTTCTAGTTTTCCATTGTTGCAAATATAAAATGAGTGACAGTCAGTGGGGTTGGGATATAAGGTGCCAGAGTCACATGACTTTGTTGGGTCACTTGATTGCGTTGACGACGTCAATATCTCCATTGGAGTTGTGGTATTTGAAGATTCACGTGTTATAGTAGTAAATCCACTTGGCGTCAGAGTAGTTGATTCCTTTGTTTGGTTAGTAGTTGATTCGCTTTCCATAGTAGTAGTTATTTCTTTTGGCGTTATAGTAGTTGCTTCACTTGATGTTGTAATAGATGAATCACTTGGCTTTGTAGTAGTTGTTCCAATTAATATTGTATTAGTTGCTTCTTTACCTGTTGTAGTAGTTTTTTTAATTGGAATTGTTGTATTTGATTCATTTGACGTTGTAAAAGTTATTTCATTTGTACTGGTTGATTTATTTGTTATTGTAGTTGTTGACAAACTTGGTACTGTAGAAGATGATTCATTTAGCGTTCTAGTAGTTGATTCAATTGGTGTAGTAGTAGATGATTCATTTAATGATATAATGGTTGATTCTCTTGTAGAAATAGAAGGTTCACTTAGTGTAGTTATGCTTGATTTACTTGGGGCTGTAGAAGTTGATTTTCCTTGAATTGAAATTGTTGTGTAACTTGGTGTTGTAGTGGTTGATTCACTTATCTTAGTCTTAGATATATCGCTTGTCACTATAGTAATTGTATCTCTTGGCATATTAGTACTAGATTCACTTGTAAATGGAGTAAATAATGTTGTTGTTTCAGTTGTTAATTCATTTACATTCCTAGAAGTTGGTGTCGTCATTTTTGTAATTGCGGGTTTACTTTGAGTTGATTCTGTAAGAGTCATAGTACTTAATATTTCATTTGGCAATATGGAAGTCGTTATCGTTTCTCTTGTTATGGCAGAAGTTAATTTATTTACTGTTGAAGTTGAAAATTCGTTTAATGATGACAAAGTAATTTCATCTGGTGTCATTGTAGTTGATAGACTTGTTGTTGTAGGTGTTGATATTCGTGGTATTGTAGTATTTAATATGCTTATTGTGCCAGTTGTAGAATTACTTAACGCAGTTTGTTCATTTGGTGTTATGGGAGGTAATCTACTTGCGGTTGATGGGATTGTAATAGTTTGACTTGCCGTAGAAATGAAATCAGTTGTTGTACTAGAAGTGGATTCATTATCTTTTGTACTATTTTGTTCATTTCGTCCATTACTTGTTGTATTAACAGATTTACTTGTCACTGAACTAATTTCCTTACTTGGTATCGTAATTATTGATTCAGTGGTGAATGTTGAATTGAATTCACTAGACGAAATTATCGTTGAATCATCAGATATTATAGTAGACAAGTGGCTAAGTGTTGTAATATTGTATTCTTTTGGTTTTAGAGTCGATGATTCGTTTGGTATTGTATTTTTTTGAGTTATAGTTCTAGTAGATGATGCATTTATTCCTGGAGAACTGTTTTCACTTATTGTTGTAAAAGTTGAATCAACAGGCGTTATAGTAACTGATTCAAAGGGATTTGAAGTAGATAGGCCACTTGTTGTTAAAGTAGAAAATTTACTCGGTATTGTTGTTGTAGTAAAATCTGTTGCTTTTGTTCGCTTAACTATTGTTGAACTATTTGGAATAGTTGTAGTTGATTTATTTGGCAATGTATTACCAATTGTTACTGTAGGGCTTAATTCTGTTGTAGTGTTAAGAAATTGATTTTGGGCTTTGGTAGTAGATTCATTTATCGTTGTTGAAGTAGATTCACCAGATGTAAATGGTTTGATTGGAGTTTTTGTTATTGTTGTTGATAAAATCATGTCTTCTCTTGTTGTCAAATTATTACTATGAATCGTTGATAATATTACAGAATCAGCTGGCGATATAGTAATTTGTAAACAGGTTACAAAATATGACGGCAGACAGACCTGTGAATATTCGTATGAATAGGTATTTATAATTAAAAGATATTCGGTGTAAGTAAACAATAATCAGCATGAATAAAAAGAATATAAAATGTTAAAGGGGGCAAAAAATATAATAATTTCTTGTTACGAATGATTCCTTAGATTCTTAATATTTTTGTGTTTAGAGAAATTTTCATTATTGTCTTAAATAAATTTTTCCTTATTTTTTTTAATATATTTAAAATTCACTTATCCAATCTCGGACACCTGGTTTATGTCTGTGTAAAGCTATCCTGCCGTCGTATGAGAGAAGGGTACAACTAACATTTTTTCAAAATTAAGTTTTTAAGTTATGTATATACATATTTAGAATCAGAAAAAAAGGCGCATATATAATTTTTTTGTAGAGTTTTATCTTCAAGGAATTTGGAGATACAGAAGGCTTGAAAGGTGAAAATGAGACTAATATTAATATTTTATAGAAGGAAAATTGTACCATTATATTGAAAAGGCACAAATACGTAGATGTGAATTTTACTTCATACAGATTTTTAATAAAGAAATATTTTTATTTCATGTTTTTGTTACTAGTTACGTTTAATTTTTATTATGATAATGAATATTCATAGTATTTTTAAAAATATTAAACTACGAGTGCCTTAAATTAAATACGGGTATCATATATTTCCTGTAAGTAAATTTACAAAACACAGTTAGAATAAGCTCTAATAAAGTAGCTTAATAAAGGTTCAAAACAAAAATGTAGGATCCTGTTAATATAGAATATTTTGATTTATATTTCATACTGTGATTTAATGAAACAATTTTTTAACCTATTAGTAAAAAGTAAAAAAAAATGATAAAATTAACTAAAAAGTGTATAAGTGAATTTATGTTTTCACTTTTTGTTTCTAATTCATAGGTTCTATTTTTAACAAACCAAAATTGTAGATACATGCTTATCCTAATAATTTATTGTGTAATTTATAAATAACTATGTTTTGAACATTAAGAAAGTTTTTTTTGTTAAAAGGTTGGAGTCCTAGAAGAAAATTTGTTATGTTTTGTTTAAATCATTTGGATAAGCTACCATAAATGGCATGAGAAATAAATATGTCTTAATAGTTTATTAAACTTTCCTCACATGTTAAATTGTTTCTTTCTTTTTTTTGTAGAGAACATTAAGTTAATTTTCATTAAAAAGGCACAATTAGACAAATGTGCCCTTTCTTAGACTCAATGCCCATGAAATATTAAGAAGAAAGGTCATATTTTGTTAAATATGCCCTTTTCCTTCTTTGTAGTGAGTGGCTTTTTAAAAAAAAAAAGTTTTTATGTAGAATGAGTTTCTTTTAATTTATATAATAATTATTTATATAAAAAAACTAAAAAGAAAAAAATATAATAGTATTAACCTTACCGCATATATTATCAGTATTTTTTTTACTTTTAAGCAATAGGTTTCCACACTGTGGACCAGAATATGTTAAAAACTTTAATCCCAATTATCTCAGTTTGACCAAAATTATAGATGTGCCCTTCAGTAATACGACAGCAGTATCTACTATGAGTAGATGATAACTATTTAAATACTGCAAATACTTACTTGGAGTGATTGTAACATAATCTCAAGAATCAAAATTATAATATCAAGTTGAAAATGAAGTTTCAAACTTACTAATTTTGTTGGATGGAACAGAAACTGTCCCATACATGTTTCTTGTTGTAATTTACCATTATTACAAAAGTAGAATCGACGACAGTTGAAAGGATCTGCCGTCATATGGTCTCGCTCACAAAGTTTATTAGGGTATGGTGACGATGTTGAAGCGGTAGATTTACTCGGGGTTGTTGTTGATGAAATCATTCGTTTAGTTTGTGACTCTGTTGATGATTCACTTGATGTAATAGTTATTTCATCTTGTGTGTTTGTGGTTCTAGTGGTTGATTCATTCAGTGTAGTACGGGATGTTTCATCTCGCGTTGCAGTAGATCTAGCGCTAAGCGTTGTAGTTGATTTATTTGGTACTGTAATTATTGAATTAGTTGATGATTTTGTAGTTAACGCGTTTAGAGTTGTAGTTGTTGGTTTAATAGGCATTGTGTTTGAATCCCTTATCGTTGTAGTGGTTAATTCACTATGCATTGTAGTTAAATCGTTTGTCGTTGCAGTTGTTAGTTTATTAGTCTTTGATGTAGTTTCACTTATTTTTGTACTAATCGATTCAATCGGTGTAGTATGGATTGTTTCATTTGGCCTTGCAGTAGTTTTATCACTCAGAGTTATAGTTGATTCACTTGGAATTATGATAGTTGAACCGGTTGAAGTTTTTGTAGTTAATTCACTTGGCGTTTTAATAGTTGATTCACTAGAAATTAGAGTTGAACTGTTAGACGTTGTGTGTTGTGTTTCTCTTATAGCTACAGTCGTCGATTCATTTGTTGTTGATGTAGTTGCACTGGTTTTTTTATCAGTTGAGTCACTTCGTGTAGTACGGGTGGTTTCATTTTCGGTTTCATCAGTAGGCGTTATGGTGGATTCACTTGGTATTGTGAAAGTTGAATCTGTTGATAACTTTGTAGTGAATACTCGTGGATTCACAGTAGTTGATTCCCTCGTCGTTGTTATAGTCGATTCTCTGGTCATTGTAGTTGATTCGTTTGTCATTGGAGTAGTCAATTTGTTTATTCTGCTAGTGGTTGAATCATTCGGAGTTGTGCGGATTTCTGTATTTGGTATTGTTGTTGATTCATTTGACAATTTAATAGTTGAAGTACTTGAACTTTTTGAAGTTAATACATCTGATGTTGTGGTGATTGTCTCAGGTATCACAGTTGAATTATTTATTGTTGTAGTAATATATTCATTAGGCTTTATAGTTGGATCATTTGACTTTCTAGGTGTTGATTCATATATTGTAGTTGATTTTTCTGTCGTAGTTGTTGATTCTATTGATGACGTTGTTGAGATTACAGTAGTTAATTCACTAGGCAAAACTGTTGAATCACTTATCGTTGTAATAGTTGACTTGTTCGTCGTCGTTGTAGTTGTTTCACCTGGTAATACGGTAATTGGTTTACTTGGAACTTTTGTAGTCCATTCGTTTGTTGTTTTAATTGATTCTTTTGCTGAGTTTGTTGTTTCACTAATCATTGTGATAGTTGGTTCAATAGCATTTGTACTCGCTTCTTTTGGGTATGTAGAGGTTAGTCCACTCAATGTCGTTGAAGCATTTGTTGTCAGTTCCGATGGTGGTCCATCACTTGTAGCTGTTTGATTCGAGAATGATTTGGCTGTTGATGACGATGATGTTTCTGGTTCACTTGTCGTTATTGGCGTTGAACTGGGAAGCTCACTCGGTGTTGTCGATGTTATATTGGTAATTTCCATCGAGATTGCTTCTGTCGTTCGTTCCATTTCAGAAAATGTCGTTACAATAGTAGTATGATTCTTTTGTGGAGAATTGTTATTGTCGTCACAATTCCTCGGTGTTGTTGTTATGATGTAGGGTTTCTTGAATTTGCATTTCGCTATTTTTGGAGGCATGCACCACTGAAAATAATGAAACAAACAATTGGATTAATAAATAAATATTGGTTGGGATAGTCTTAAGGTACAGGCAAGAATGCTATTCTGCAATAAAAATCAGCGACAAACTCGACGTCCAACAAATTGCAGTCATAACATAAAGGTTCATCCAAATAAAACCTATTTCAAAAGATAATAAGTTTTTTTACAACCATCGTTTTTTTAAATAATCAAAATTCACTCATTTACGAACTAATAATAATACTTAATATTAACTTCAGGTAGATGTACAATGGCAAAATGTATGTAAATTATTGAGTTTTAGTAGCTCGGTAGCGTATTGGATAAGCGCCGCGGCCCGCGATCGTTGTCGCTAAGCAACTTTCGCAAGGGTCGGTCACGGGATGGGTGACCGAAAGATTATTATCTCGACCTACTCCGTGCTTCGGAAGCATTGGTCCCCGCTGCATTTGCAGTAGTTAATACCCTCCAATCCTCATTGGGCCAGCGTGGAGGGTCATGGCCATGGAACTAAATGAACTTTATAAAGATGCTCTTAAAGTTGAAGCTACCATTATGTAGGTAAGATTAATTATTATACCAACCATCCTATTAATGTTCCCATTGCTGGGGTTCAGGTCTTCCTTATGGGTGGAATTGAATCAAATCGAATAGGTTAAATGGGCAATGACCCACCCATGCGTACCCAGTGCGGATTGGTGGGTGCTAACGATTGTGTATTGCAGCCGGGATCAACGTGCTTATCTTACTTGCTTTCGACTCAGACCTTCCCGCGGTTGAGCTCGAGATAATCAATTTTTGGTCATCCACGCTGTGACCGGCCCTAGCTAAAGTTAAAAGAGAGCGGTAATCACTGTGGATATGTGGATGTGGATGAATTAGATGGATAGACTAGAATTAATGTCTAGAAGTTTTAATTTTGTCTAGGTACCTACCTGTACAGGTATGTACGTTAATTAACAAGAGTAATTCAAAATTTTAATTAAGTTCATATTAATAAAGTTACATATGGTTAAATATGAGTTGAAATGTATGCGTACACGAAATTCATCTTCAATAATTGAATAAAACAAATCTATATCAGTAGTAATTTTATATTTTTTAAATACAATTATATTCGTATTATGCATGAAATTCCGTTCCGTAAACCTATTTGCTTCATTAGAACAGTTTCTAACATATGTACAGAACGTACCTACCTATGCTCATATTTAAAACTAAAAATATGTAGACGATTTAATTATAATTTGACGACCTCTGTAGCCGATTGATTACCACGTCGGTTTCAAGGTGTATTTTGGAGGACCCCGTTTCGATTCCCGGTCGGGTCAATGTAAAAAAAAGGACATTTCTGTATTGTCTCGAGTCTGGGTGTTGTGTCCACCACACAATTGTATTATTAAGTCAAAGGAAAAACTTCTTTTGAAAAAAAAAGAGTTGAATGATATTGGAGAAATTAGATCGATACTTACACGGTAAATTGGATCAAATTCAGTCGTTCCTGGACATTTTCTATGGTCCAAATTCCATTGGTTGCATCTGTAGTAATATCTGCAGTCTTCGCTGTCAGGGTATAATTCTTGGTTGAGACAAGGTACGGCGTGGTGGCTCACTGTTTCCAAATTGTTTGTTTTGACGGACGCTGTAGTGATATTTTGCAAGATTTGACTCGCGATGAAGAGTATATAATAATTGGTACTTGTCCACCCTATAACATATAATCACAGAGTTAGTCTATCAATGTGACTAATAATAAAAGACATGTTTTATCCATAGACTCCATATTAAATATATCACATTGGGAGAACCGAAGTTCATAAATCTGCCTAATACCCATCACACGGACAAGGTGCAGATTAGTGTAACCGGGTCCAATGAATGTTGCGAACATTAAGGTCGTCTTAATAAACATACGGAAGCTTAATATTTTAAAAATGTAAGTTTGTGCTCCGCTATGGTTAGGTATTTCAGTGAATACCCACTGGACACAGAAAAGATGTGAATATAGGGTTAGCCGGAAACCCGATAGCCGGGCAGTTGTTTGGGTAAAGGGTAAGTACCCCGCATTGTCGAGGAATTTGTATCTTAATGTAATCTATACATATATAAAGGAGATGTTAGATCAGCGATGGTTCTAGTATCGATACTTAGCTAGATTTTAGAATCGTATTAAAAGTATCAATAACTTAAGGTAAGATAAATAAGTATTGTTACGCTTAGACGCCTAAACAACTGAACCCATCTTAATGGAAATTAATATAGTAAATGGACTTAACTTTAAGAAAGGACATAGGCTCCATTTTATCGCGAAAAATAGGGGATGAAAGTTTGCCTGGAAATTTGTCATTATCAAAATTATTTTAGACAATTGATAAGTATAGATAAATATTTGATAACAGAAGTAATAATAAAGAATAAACAGAAGATTAACAGAAGTAATTAAGTGACACTCAATGTCTTTTTCGCATTTAAGTCTATTTTGTAATAAAATTTGAAATGATTGTTTGTGTCATAAATAAATAAAAAAAGAAGTATTCCAAAGGAAAAATATTTCTGCTTAAAGAAACTACACCACGTGTATCAAATTATGCCTATATATAATACAGTCAACTGATCTCGTAAAGTTCATTTATCATATTAATTCTCCACCTATACGGCACTAATTTCGATTGGTCTATCTCTATAATCGCTTAAAGTTGTTTTTACAAAACTTCGAAAAAAATAGCACGTTTATAAATTTAAACATCAAATACTAATATCATTACCAGTAATTTTATTTTAATGTCATAGATATTTTTAGCTTTTTTATGTGAATAATGCTCTTCTTAAATAAGTTAGGGTATAAGTTTTTACATCTGATAGTAGTCATCCGATGGTAGTCATACGTCTTGCCTCAATTTATTATGGTTTATGTAAAATGATCAGGTCATTATTTAGGTACCTTTGTACGTCTTCGAACGCAATTACCGACGTTCCAAAAATGTCATCGTACCTAGTAAGTGACGTGTAGCCCTACACTGCGCCGCTTCGATCAGGAAAAAACGGACAAGTGCACAGCTACTCATCCGGGTTTTTCGTGTCATTCCGGACCGGAGAAAATCGAACCGCCGGACCTGAAAATTCAGTGTAGGGCACATGCGCCCTAACGATGTCCGTCTTTATCCGCATGCCTGCCAACCCTAGGTAGGCCCGATGTCGGGGACTCTCTCCGCCCTGCGGCGGTGGACTGCGTTATGCTTGCATGGCACTGTCTTGGCGGCGCCGGGGGGCGACAGAGCCCCGTTGGTAGCGGGAACGAGAGTGCTGCGAGGGGGCCTGAGGGGCAGCCTTGGGGTAAGCCCACAGGAAGCGCAGGTGGGAGGCCCGGGCGGCACTCTCGAAATGGAAGGCGGCAAGGGGGGTGGGATCGCGTATTAACGCATCCCTCCCTTCTGCGGATCAGCGGACGAGGGCTGACACCCCACCCGCACCCCCCTGGGATTAGCCCACGGGGACGATCCACCGTTTGGGAAAAGGCTGTTATTCACCCAAGTCTTTTCCTTCCCGCAGAGGGCGACTCCTCTTCCCCCCGAGAGGAGTCCCAGTGCGGCGGAAGAAACCGGGCCCTCCTTGCAGGATACCGGGTTCTTCCTATCCGTGTGAGGTGAACCGCAGCGGGTTTTACCAGGTAGGCCTTTCACACCAACCTGCCCTTTTTAGGGCGGGGTGGAAGAAGAGCCCTGGTTTGAGGCTTAAAGTGCATTTCCCCTGCGTTACCAAAAAAAAAAAAGGTAGGCCCGATGTAGAAAGTATATAAAAACACTACAGTTAAAAATAGGACGTTCTGTAAAAAAATAATATCGATCTGTCCACTATGTTTCAAGTTTTACCAATTTTTACGGACAGAAACACAAGTTTTTTTTTTTTAAGTAGCTAAACACTGTGTTTATTAATTCTTACCCATGGTCAGTCGCTATCCTGCAATCCGTTTCCCTTCACGTTAAACATAAGATTGTTTCGTTAACGTCATATTATTAATTGGTGAACAAATCGATTTTAATAATTGGTTATAGTTCGATATTTTATTTGTTGTGTAACTCTATATGTAGCTAGTAATAACACAATTGTAAAATACATACATAAATTGCTTGTAAGAAATTGAATTTTGTTTAGTTAATATAAATATTCTCGAGAAAATAATGGATAAGGTGGTAGTTTTTATAAGATATTGATATAATAATATGATTATTAATAAGAACGACGTGCAGCGCGAGTTTGATATTAGGTCCTTACATATGAAATTGGTGTTTGGTATGGGAGAAACAAAAAGTCGAATATTTTTTAATATAATATATTTATTTAATCAAATTATAAACCATTGCTATCTATGTAGTTTTGCCATCTCATAGGTAGTTCATTGATCTCCTTACTAAAAAAGCCATTCGGACGGGAATCAATAAAATCTATGAAGGCGATTTGCACTGCCCCATCGGAGTTGATTTTTTTTCCCTAGCAATAAGTTATCTAAATTTCGAAAAAATGGTAATCTGTTGGAGCAAGGTCCGGGGAGTACGTTGGTTGTCTTAGACATTCTAATTGAAGTTCTTCTAATCTGGTAGCCGTCTGTTGTGCAGTGTGTGATCTAGTGTTGTCGTGAAGTAGCAGTGGCTTAGAGCGATTGACCAGCCTCGGTTGTTTAACAGCTAGTTTTTCCAGCATAGTTTGCAAATGCTGACAATAGACGTCTGTCATAATCGTCTGGCTAGATTTGAGAAAACTGTAATGAACGACTCGTGCATTAGTCCACCAAACGCTTACAAGTAACTTTTTTGGGGTAAATTTTCGCTTGGGGGAGGATTTGGCTGGCATGCCAGGGTTGGTTGGAACCATTGCGATGAGCGCATCCGATTATCGTAGAGAATCATCACAGGTAATAATTCGATTTAAAAATCCTTAATTATTGTGTCGGTTAAGTAATGTAACGCAGCAGTCAAAGCGCGTATGCCGGTTTGCTTCACTCAATTCGTGAGGTACCCACCTTCCAAGCTTTTTAATCTTTCCAATTTGCTTCAAGTGGATTAAAACACTTCTATCACTAACACCGCAGCCTGCAACTAACTCAGACGTGGTTTGCGATGGATCTGCTTTCACAATAGCCTTCTTCATTATTAACTTGGATCTCCGGCCGTCCACGGGGCTTGTTTCGCAGGTCGAAATTTCCAGAACGAAACCGTTGGAAGCAAAAACTCACTATGTTCTTTTGCGACACAACCGCCATGCACACCATTAACCCTTCGAGCCGTTTCCACAGCACTGGTACCACGGCGGAACTTGTACTCGTAAATAACACGATATTTCAAGTTTTCCATTTTTTTATGGGTGTCCTATTTAGGACAAACAGAAGAAAAAAAAATGAATGCCGTCTAACGAGCATAAATACATGTGTAAATGGCTGTATAAATGTGAATTTGGAATTCCCAACCAAGGCTCATTACTTACTGGCTCATTTACATTAGTCGTTTGGGACAGCACGCTAATTGTGGCGACATTGGTCAATATATAAAATGACTAAAGGATGGTTTCTGAATTGATAAAAGTACAAAATCTCAACTGATTCTTCTTAGTAATTAATTTTTTTTTGCTTTTCACAAGGCAAAAGTCTTAGTTTTTATCAAACTATTCTCAATTGATCATTAGAAAAAAAAGCGAAATCCTGTTAAGACGACGTTAAAGTACAGTTTGAGACGTGCTTAACTTTAAATATTCAATTCAGAAACTGGATGTATCTGATTAAAGCGAAGAACATAAATAGTATAGTAAGCGGATATTATCGACCAGATAAACGCGCCATAAGAGGTTGCATGTAATTAATCTAAAGACATCTTAAATGGATCGGGAATGGGAGGTAAACATTTGACTATTCTAAATTGATTTCAATCTACACTAATATTATAAAGAAGTAAAGTTTCTAGCTTTGTTTGTTCGTTGGGTTAATCTTCGCAAATACTGTTCCTTTAATGGAAATCCTTTCACCTACGGGAAGCTAGATCATACACGGGTGATGTATGGTATAATTTGCACGGAGGAAGTCGCGGTAAAACAGCTAGTAAACTGAATAAATAAAATTCCGATTTCGCTTTCTATGTTGTGTTTACTAGATACCATCGGTCGAATACCCCCATCTTAACATTATAATCAAAATAATAAATAAAAGCATTTTTTATTTACACTATTATGTATTTTATTTATTCATGAATCATCATCATCGTCATCACTACAGCCACTTCCATCACCGTGTCTCTTCAATTTCGCCTCAAGCTCTTTAGCTGGATTGAACACACCACCAGTTTGAGTGTTACATATGAAACAGCGAGTTGATTTCTTGTAATTCTCCAACGCACACTTTTCGCAAAAGTAATGTTTACACCTGCAAAAATAGACAAATATAAAAGAAATATCTTCAACATACAACTCAGACATTATAAATTGTCCAGAATGATTAAATATCATATAATTAGTCCCGACAAAGTCGCAGAGATATTACCGACCAATAGCGGTTCCTTCGTCGTCTACTAATTATATGCAGTATAGCCTTATTGTAGGTACGACGTTGACATCTTCGATTGCAACATAAAATCCCTTTAAGCGGAAACTACTAGAATATTTACTCTTTTGTTGATTTATAGCGCAGGTATAATTATATATTTGATGGTGTAGTTCGAGTGCAAAACTAGTTAGATCTAAGCAATATCTATATGCGGAAACCTATAATTGGCTTATTGTTAATTATACATGTAATCTATGTTATTATAGCTCTTTGTTTTCCAAGTGGAATAAATAAATAATTAGTGACGGCAAAATGATTAGTAAGTTAGGCGATTGTGGATGTTGAGCAACTTTTGTATTGGCCAGCAATGGGATGGGTGACTAAATATTTTATCTTTAGATTCTACATGTATTGTACGGTATTGTTAAGTTCATAGTATGGGCTTTCACTGTTGGGGCATAGTCTTTTCTTATGAATATAATCATGTATAAAACGAAGCGGATCATGACTACTAATATAGGTACCTGGGTGTCTAGAATACAAGCAAACAGTATTTTCGTAGTGGGTGGCAACACTAAGCGTCGACGGGTACTTCTTTTTCAATTTTTTTTTTTAATATGAGTGACTGTGATATTACAATGTATTTTCGACAAATGTACTGTCGACACAAAAAGCTGGGTGATTGAAAAGTACTATATAAGTTTATTCAAATGAAGATAGTCTGACCTTGAAAGTTTAAAGCTACAACAATACAAAGTTCTAGAGATAGCCATACTTAACGTTTACTTTTATTACTCAAATAATACTTTGGGTCTGTTAGTTCTTGACCTGCCCTAAGAACTGACTATAATTATGCCAATAATTTATGAATACGTCAACTTGTAGTGCTAAGGCCACTTGCAGTGCTACAGTAGTTTGCAGTGCTACGGAAGTTTGCAGTACTACGGCAGCTTATAGTGCTACGAGTCAGCGTTGGAAATTGACAATGGAATTACACGTACTTTGTGACTATAGGATCTGTGAAACTGTTCCGACATATGAAACATCTGAAAGGCAACTCGTCGTCCGAATGCACTTCGTAGTCGGAATCGTCGCCAGCTATCGCTATGTTCTCTTCTCGTTCCAGTTGCCATCCATGTTTATAATCAGATCGATCGTGGAGAAATTTGCAGGAATCTGAAGGATAATACATATTTACATTATTGAATCTTTTTAATCACTTTCTAGAATAACTACTTTGGCATAGGTATTATGGAAAATATTGTGTATTCATATTATTATGTAACTCACCTCCGAAACCACAGAATCCAGTTTCTTTATAATCTTTACAAATATCAGGTTGATAGTCCCATCTGAAAAGTACAAATATTCCTTAAATCCAAGTCGAAAGCTACTATAATTTGTACCACAAAGAAGTTTAGAGAAATTTGTGTTGGCAGTATATTATTATATTATGGGAGTCCAGTTTCTTAAAATATAGTGTTTAAATTCTCTTTGTTTACCTGACAGTTGCTCTTAGATTTGCGGGCGCTCTGATTGGCCCTTTCCTAACCAATCCAGAGCTCGCATTTCCCGCTGCCGTATCCCTCTTTTTGTAGTACTGCGCATAATTGTTTATGCCACGGTATACCTAAAAGTAATACGTAGAAAATTAATGATCATCCTCAAATCTACGACTATCAGTAAGTTCAGTCGACACGAGATGTGGCGACGTCTATCACATCTTCAATGGCGAAATTCAGAAATTGCGCTTCGATACCTACATCGCGCTGAATAAGTTTCGCCGCGTTTAATATGAATACAACTTCCAACCTGCGTCGACCGGACCGCGATTCCCGAGCTGCCGCAGGTCAGCTCCGAGTGAAGCAATTTCTCTTTAGTCTAGCTTACCAGTTGCCATCCGCTTATGGCTGGTTTACATTACATGGAATTTAATCTTAACTGGAAACGAGAAATTCAATCCATGGAACACTACATTAGCTCAGCTTGTTATGCGTTGAGATGTTTGAGTTATGCGTTGACGTAAAGTTTTGGGGTGTTACCCCTATTCTATATGAAAAATTCAAATATACGCGTATACCGCCGCGGGAATCTTGTAGGGAACACTTTAGAGATCTTAGTATAGTCACTCTCCCTAGTCTTTATATATTGATTGTCATCATGGATATTTTGAAATATTACATATTTTAAATACGAAACAGCAAGATCTAGGAAGATGAGATTTAGCAGAAGAAGAAAATCCACATAGATTTGCTTCACCCAGAATCAAATATTATTAACTACATACAAGGAGGAAAACAAAACGGTATTTTAAAATTTGTGTAAAAATGTATGGACCGACGAACAACAGTACCTGTTATTATTTACATGCAAGGTGTAAAGAAAAAACGTTTTGTTAGCCTCATTCTTTCTCTATATCACAGTTAATGTTAACAAATGGATTGCTTTAATTGTTATTAATAAAGTTCATTGATAGTGCAACTATCTATATTGCAACAATGCTGTTGGAAACTGTATATGTAGCATCTCCTCCCACCATAAATAAACTAAAAAGAAACAACCTTATCGTCAGCTTGCCCATGTAACTCCTCATTAATTTTCTGTGCCTTTTCAAATATTGCTTGAGCATCTCTATCTCTTTCTGTATCAAGCTCGTATGTTGCCGTCGCATTCTCACGCTGCTGTTGTACAGAGAGTGTAGTGCGGTCCTTTTGTTTCTGCAAAAGTCACAAGCAAAACTTTATCACTTAAAAATTCAAGAGTACAAATTATAAATTCTGTTATTCCAGTCTAAATAAAATAAATCCTTTGTAGCTTGCTCATGCAATACATATGTCATCAGAGTTTACATACACACGTTTTCATACATATGTCATCAGAGTTTACATAAAGGAACAACGAGAGAGAAGTAAACTTCTGATCACAGTTTTAACCTGACCTTATCAAAAGCTGTTTATAGTGTTTTATACAATAAATTATAAAATTAGTAGCTTAGGAAAACAAAAATTTGTAATTTTCCTCTTACTCAATTACTAGCCAACGTTATGTGTTATGTTAACAAAATACTTTAGGCAGAACTCAACAAAAACCTAAATAAAAATAACTGAGATTGACATATTATAATGATTAACACAAAAAATCATTATAATATTACTTTTTTCTCTTTAAAATGTTCCTAAATTCTCACAAACATGTGCAAAGACTTCTGACATAAAACAAACAGCAATGTTTTTAAAGACGTCGATGCTTACCTTTTCTTCATTATCACTACTGTCACTGTCTTTCGTAATCTCAGGTCTCTTGACCCGTGGTCCACCTGTGGACTGAATGTTTGGATTGGCTTTCTGTGGACGTTTTGTCGGTATAACTACAGTTGGTTCATCTGAGTCTGAACTTTTTTTTTCTGTAAAGATAAAAAATTCATGGTTAACATTTTATGAAACTTCAATAGCAATGTTAGTTATTAATTAGGAAATGGACATGAAATCATGTTAATAGTGGATGTTTACTAAATATCATCATTAATATTCTAATAATAATTGGCCTTATGTTTATTTTTTTTTTATGGAATAGGGGGCAGTTGAGCAGACGCGTCACCTGATGGTGAGTGATTACCGCCGCCCATGGACACCTGCAACACCAGAAGAGCTACAAGCGTGCTGCCGGCCAACAATAAGATTGTACAAATAATTTGTAATATTTATATTTATTTTTTTAACAACTCAATATAAAAAACTTCAGATTAGCTATAAATAATTTATGCGAATAAATCTATACACTATTATTAACTATATAATAATCTATTTAACATTTATGTTACAAATGATGTGCTTTCTGAACAAAATAGTCAAAAGTGCCTGGTACTGTTTAGTAGTTAATTTTATTGATAAAATTTATTAGCAAAAAAGAAATGTTTTTATATTTTGTGTTGAATTATTTGTATTGATAAAGTTGTATTTGTTGCATCACACATTTTCTTATTATACTTTTTATAACTTAACTTCTAATATAAATGTTTCACTATATAAGAAAGTTTATAATGTCTTTGATCTTATTCCCTTTATTTAGATGTATGAAACTACACTCTGTCAAATTAACCTTAGATTGTTTCTATTAAATAAATAATAAACAATAAATGATTAATAACATACATATTGTTTTGGTGTTATTTATTTAGTAGCAATTGAAGAATCATTGTTTATTTTGGGATTGAAAAATGCAATAAATATTCATACAAAATATAATAACCTCAAAATTTTGTGAAATTATTATGACAATTTTTGTACACAATTAATTACCTTCCGAAGAACTGGATGCTTTCCGTTTGCGACCACCTTTATTTTGGATATTACGTTTTTTAAAAGTCGCCGGTGCCTCTACTTCTACATCAGACATTTTTCTAATAACAAGATCAAATTCACATTCCAAGATTATTATAGTTCACTAGGCAAATTATAGCTAACTTATTCGATTATAAAAGTATTTGAAGTGTCTTTTAAAGTATTTGATTTCCTCGATTATTCCTATAAATAGCAATATTTATTTTGTCTTTTCTACGTAAACAATACAATTATGTTTCTTCCATATCAAATGATAGCAAAATGTTAACCTATTAGAACTAGAAGTTTAATTTACAAGGAACATGTAGCTTTATTTTGCATTATTGTGGAAATTCAAAATGCAAAGGAACACAATCGTGACATTGACAGTTGACAGTTGGTTGACAGTAATATAACGTTTCGTTAATGCAAACATAAAGAATATGCAACCATCCTTATTGATTTAATTGAAATCATTCCATAGATCGAAACGTGTGAGAAAATTTTAAAAATTCAGCTCACGGGGCCTGTTCTTCCACTTACACACGCAATACGAATGCCTTATTCTCCATAACACAGGACTTTAGATACGAAACGTAACCATTTACTCTTTAATTATGTGTAGTTACGTCGTTATAAACATTATCTCGAATAAATAGTATACTACTTTTGCCGTAAAACATTCTAATCGAGAAACGGCGTAAGTTTATATGGATTTTGCGAAAGGATACATCATTTCGAGATGTTCAGGAACTATGATCTCGTTTAAAAATGGTATACTACTTTTACATCGATCCGAGCCTTAGTTCTAAAGGGTCATAACTTCAATGCGGTTTGCGTTGAAAATGATTCTTTTACAATTAAACCGTTTAATGTGACCGATTTTAGACGGAATGTGAATTTTTCGAAAGTGTAATAGAAAAATAGCTTTCCATTACGAGATGGCAATTTTTATCGTAATGATTTCCTTTTGAAACTATGCTAGAATTTTGTAATGTTTTGCATAGCTCTATATACCTACAGTTATTTATGATCGAAATCGTCATAAATATTAGTAAAGCTGATTCATTGTGCCCCAGGCAGTATGTGCTATTGTGAATATAGCTTAAGAATTAAGATTATTTAAGAGCTATTTCCAATTTAATGTAACGTCACATAGCCTATATATAGCACGCGCACAACTAATACTCTTCTAACGATATCTCATTAGTCCAGTTACGATGAGTAGTTTCAAAGTTATAAGGGAACATTCTTTCATACATACCGGCTAAAATCATAATCCTCCTTTTCGCACTGCGGTAGTCGGGTAAAAACAAACGATTACACTCCCCTGCGGGATCGAGGCGTTAGTTATTCAAACATTTGATTTAATGTTTTCTATTTCTTTTGTGTTATAGTTAAAATAGGTATACTACTCCCACAAATTGTTTCTCCTTTTAAGATTGCTTTTAACCAATTGTATGATTTACATCGAATACCTACCTATTCTGTATTTTTTTTTCATTATGTTAAATTGTATTTTATCATAAGCTTTTGACATGTCCAGCAGTATTCCAATTGCAATTCGTTTGTTATGCGTCGTGGTTTATGCGTCGAACACAACGCTATCGTTAGTTTAACCAAATAAAGCTTTTATTCCCTGTGAAGTGGGTTTTATTGGTTCGATGTTGATGAATGATGCAATGCTTTTTATTATAATAACTAGATATACAAGTCTTTTGTTTTTAATTTTCTTATTGATAGGCATCTTTTTACGACACAAGATTGACTAGCACCCGGTTTCTGAATTGAGAATTTAAAGTTAAGCATATTTCAAACCGTAGTTACACTATCTTTAACGTTACTTATACAGATTTTCGTTTCTGATTTTATCATTTTTAATGATCAGTTGATTGAATTTTGATAAAACTAGGACTTTTGCCTTGTGAAACGTAAGATAGTTATTGAGAATAATCTTTTCTCAGTTCAAAAGCCGGCCGTATGACATATTTTTGGTGATGATTGTGGAGCAAAAATCAATAACAATTTTGGAGGCCCGGCCGGTTTGATTGACTTTTTTTAACGGTAGGCAATGAATTACTGCATACCCACTCACACCAGTGCGATGGCGGCGGGTTATAGAGGGCTCGCTGATGCAGACCCACCCTCATAAATTGGGTTATTGTAATAGCAGGGGCATACCCATTAAAATCTTACGATATCCCCAAGATCTCCTTCGCCTTGAAGTCGATGCTCGGGGAAAGTCCGTTATGAATATTATATTATAATAATTTTCCTGAAACAATAGTGAGTTGAGACATTTTTGCAAATTGGCTACTTGACAATTATAGCAATAAATTATGAAATATGTTGGAAACGCAAAATTTTATTTAAACAACAACTATATGGTAATCTTTGTTTTAAAATATTTTATTTTTGCAAAAACAATTTCTGATTTATAATCCGTGGATAAAAAAAAACGAAACGTTGGCGGCTACGACAGAGTATCATGTGACGTCACAATTCAATAACTAAAGTCTTTATTGCGAGTGCAACCAGTAGGTTTATGTATTTATTTAAATGTGTCGTTTTGGCTCGAATTGTCACATGACTGACTGAAATCGCGGGATAATTATAAATCAATGGATAAAAATGCCTCTCCTTTATATAATAACACTTTTTGGTGAAGATTAATAGAGTCAATAAAAACAGTCAAGTGGCTTATTGTTATTATGTATTTTTGGACTATTCTTTAAATAAAATAAAAGAGATTAATAAAATTTTGAAATCATGTCGTTAATATCAGGGCCAGCGAATTTACGATTTTGTGGTAGAGAATATTTTTTTTTAATTTTTTTTATCCGTTTAAATGTTGTTTTTTTTTATCGAGAAAACGTGGTAAATTCACGTTTATATAATCAATTTGATTTTTGTTTTTAGGTAATATCTTGATCTCATTTTCCAAGGTCTATAATACCAAAGTCCTCGCTTACGAATCTATATGGCCTCTAATATAAATTGCACATATATATCTTATCATTTATTTATGTATTTTATGAAAACATCAGCGTCACTGTGTCGTCACAAAGTTGTTTTTAAAACCTAACACAGATAAATATTTTTGTTAATCTATTAGTATATTGTATTTATGAAAATATGACGATTAATATTAACGTATAATGACGTAGGTTAATATTAATAAATACCTAGTTGTATTTCATATTTTTGTTTTATAGGACGGTTACTTACGACTCTAGCCCTAACTATAAATGTTAAAATGTTGTAAAAATTGTTTATAATTATGTGTTTTTTATTATTTTCATTATATTTAATCTATCAGTTTATTTCTGTTTTAGAATTAGTTTTGTTTCTCTGAATGTTTTCTATCATAAGTATTTTAATTTTTATAGCAGCGTTGTAATTATTTAATTTAGCCCTACAATTATCAAAATAGAGAGTATATTCTTTCACTAAGTTTAAAAATCAATTTTATTAATAAAAATTTGAAATTATTCATAAAAATTTGTAAGTTACAATTTTAATTGACGATTATTTGTGTTTATTTGCCGTAGGTAAGCTTGTTACATCTTTAGTTCAGTATAAACCATGGAATAGACAGAACAATGTAGTTGTGTTCTTGAAATAGTATTTTTTTATTATAAGTATCAGTTTACATTCTTTTTTCCATAGCAGTCAATGGGTCTTAGTGAATAATTTCATATTGGTTCACAGTGGATAAAGGCTTTTCCTCTCACTAAAAAGTTCCCTAGGGATCACGTGGACGAAACTGTTGGCGAAAAACTAGTATAAAATAAAGATGAATACAGTTACTGACCTATCACTATCTCTGTCATTCTAATCTAAATAACTGAACATTCTACGCCTAATAGAGCCTGAAAATAATAACCTTTATCGGTCATGTATTTATAATGCGATTATATCTTTCATAAATTTTCGATGTTCATTGAAATTATATAAAATCAGTAATCACGATAAGATTTCGCTATCTAAAATTTATAACGCACTTAATGTATTGATAAAATATACTTATGTATTGTTAAGGTAAATATTAGTCTGGCCGCATACATTCGTTTTACGTATTCAGTTTCATAATTAGGGATTTCTATAATTATAACATTAAATTATGAAATATGTTGAAAACGGTAACTTAAATCGTCGGTAGCAAAGAACAAACGGACAAGTACATTTTTGAGTGTAAATCATTTTTTGCGTAAAACACTTTAGAATACTCTATTTTTAAATGCCTAAAATATAATTACTTTTTGAGATTTGCTCGCCTACATAAAGATAACTAAACACGGACATTTGTAGTAGTACGTATATACAATACTTCGGTGAAATAAAAGTTGACAGTCACATGTCAGCTTTAACAAGGAGACTATTGCTAGTAAAGACCTAGTAAAAAGCCACGTGACTCTTTCAGACGAAAGCTCATGATATATAGATATGAAGGTATCAACAGCAAGTTTCAATTTTCAAACAATCCAATATGCTCACTATTCCTCATGTTAAAACAAGCTCTTTCTACTTTACACGCTAGTTATAATTCTTTAATTTTTACAAACTTTAATATGAGCACTGAATGCGGATTTTTGTATGTGGGATGAAACTTTTGTCAGACGAATATCTAACCAGATAGCCAGCTGAATTCTCTTTTGCTATCAAAAATTAATTCCTAAAAGACACAAATTTAATATAAAATAAAACATATGTATAGAAGCGACAGTTACCGATGAGGAAGAATATTTTATTTTGTTAAACTGTAAATTTTTCTTAGAAGAATATTACGGTGTTATAACTGATTATGAAAAGATTCCACTTGAATTTGAGTAATGTTATTTTTGTGAAAGTTATTTAGATCGATACATTAGGTCTGAATTGCTTATCTTCTTAGTTTATTCTGCTACACAATACTTTAAAAAAGTAATTGTTGAAGTATTTTTTAAAGTTTTTATTATTTATCATGAACAAAAAGGAGATTTAATATTTAAGATTGGATGATTATTTCGTTGTTTTTTGTAACAAATCTATTTTTATGCAATAAGCTATTTAATTTGGTGTTTGTAAATGCACCTGGAATTTAATAAATTGCATGCACCTGGAAAATAAAGTAATTATTATTAGCCGCC